ATATATCAATAAACAAAGTGCAAGTAAAGACAACATAGTTACTCCTTGCCTGGTCTTGAAGAAACGGCCGGGTCAAGTGATTGTAAAATGAGTCGTAGCACACCTTTAGTGGAGTTCATGAAATCGACCTCATGTGTATTGCAGGGCTTCTCCAATCATTATGCTACACGCACCCAGTCATGCAATAGACAGGTGGTTTCGTCCCGCGTAGGTGGTGTTAATGGAGTTGAACCATGACGCATCTTTAAGAAACTATAATACAACGCCGAACACTTCACGTTCATACCTTATTTATTATAACGCAGATTAATAGTATGCGTTTATCAAGTGCGTTCTAGCCATTTTTCATAAATCTACACCTTTTTATACAAAATAACTTAAAAAGTTAGCTCGACATGCCTATAACCTCTTGTGATTCGGAACAAGGGATTGGAAGGGTGACAAACACGCTCCAAAGCCAAAACACCACGCACTACGGTGCAAGTCATGCACTAATCAATTGTATCAGCTGATTTCCCACTTGTCTTGATGTTCTTGCTCCGTTCTGGATTTCCTGACTTTTAGCATGAAATCTCATATATCATTTGTTTTTATTTATAGATTAAGTTGCTTAAGACATTCAAGGCCACCATGGTTTTAGAAAGAAGATTTTTTTTGCACAAGAGGATAAAGCTCTCGGCTTTGATCAACCCCTGGGGGACGCACCATGGATTCGACTTCATTAAGCATCGTTGGAGGTGATTGAATGCATCTGGCCTTTACAATGACTCACGATGGCCTGCTGATGTATCGTGTCAGTGCTGCTATCCCCTAGATGAGTTTGGTAACAGTTTGCTCACCCCGGAGGGATGGAAGGCTTGGTGGGCCAGGGACGCGGCTTTCGGTCACATGTGTGTTGCAGGGCGCCTCCGACCACTGCGTTACACGTGCCCCTACCCTATTGATGTGCACTTTGTTTTTACGTGATGTCAATATGCCAGCATAAATAGTAACGATGAATTTATCTATCCATTTGGACTTCTTTACTATTATTTCTACATCCTCATGAACTGGTCTTGTTGAGCCGTTGCGAGGTTGGTGTAAGTTGTCGTTGTAGTAGTAGTAGTAGTAGTTATTGTTGTTGTCGTTGGTCGATGGCTGGCGTTTCGGTGATTTTGCGTTCCTCAGAGCACAGATCTTGTGAGTGGAACTGTTTACTTACGAGAATCCTTTACTGGTACTTTTCGTTGTCTATTAATATCTGTAACAATTTTCGAATAATATCACGGTTATTTTATTTCGTGTTTTCTACCATACGACAGAGGTTCTCATGGGTTTCTCAACTCAGCTCTCGCCTTTTATTTGTGGATTAAAGCTACTATTGCCTTTGTATTGTACTTTAGGGCTTCATGAACTCCACTAAAGGTGTGCTACGACTCATTTTACAGTCACTTGACCCGGCCGTTTCTTCAAGACCAGGCAAGGAGTAACTATGTTGTCTTTACTTGCACTTTGTTTATTGATATATNTCACTTGACCCGGCCGTTTCTTCAAGACCAGGCAAGGAGTAACTATGTTGTCTTTACTTGCACTTTGTTTATTGATATATGTTTTTTCGTTGTGCTTTTATTATATCGTTAAGAGTTTCTCGTAATTGTAAATGGTCTGAGAAAAATCATTCTAGTCCATTTTTTACCCCTTTAATGAGGTCTTCTGTCTTTAATTTCTTGCATTTTACTGTTGCTTACCTATTCAAAGAAGCGTACTTACTTGAATGCTTGGATGGCCCATCTTCACTGGTCGTACGGGCTCAAGCAGATTCTCCATTTTCTTCGAGTTTTGCTGGTTTAGCCACTGTGGTTCCCTGGAGTCTAGAGGTCAACCTGGGAAAAGTTTGCCACAGGTCGTCACCGCCCTTGTGGATCGTAGGGTTATTTGCCACCAAGCAACTAGTTTGACACCAAGTCGGTGGCGGATCCAGGTATTGGTTAACTCGGTTTACTCATAGCTGGGCTTATTGATGAAAACGCCGTTCCATTCACAGAAAGCATACTACTATTACTATTAGCGCGGCAACGATTAGAAGCTCCATGCAGTACATATGGGTTCGATCTCGCAGCACTACCTCACCAAGCCTACCATCCCTCTGCGGTTAGCAAGACTCGATAGATCGATAGGCAACCGCGAGTCATTATAGAGACCAGATATGCATTCGATCACCTCTAACGATGCTTGATGAAGTCGAATGCGTGGCGCATCCCTCGGGGATTGATCAATGCTGAGAGCTTGATGGCTTAAAAAGGTTTTATGTATTGGAAATTGATCTCCTCGCTTTTGATTTATCCAGTTGTTCTTCTCTATCAAGCTTTTCGATTTTGAAGCATTTGTGAACAGAGTATGATTCTCTTAGTATAAATATCTTTTCTTCGCGAAAAAGAAAATGTTTTAAGCTATTTTGTTGTTATTTAAACAATTTTTGATTTGAGAACACTATGCCGACAATTTCGTCAAAGGAGTGGGACTGCGGCCTGCTCGAAACCGGTGTGGGCTTCTCAAGGCAAGTAGTTTCTCATACCTTTTAGTTTATTTACAAGCTTGTTCTCTTTTCCTCGTATTACTTTCATTGGCACGGAAACTTATGACTTACTTAGTGCATGGGGATCTTTCTTATGATTTACAAGTGCTTCAGTTATCTAACCTTTATTTTGAACATTTTAGTGTTTATTTTTTCTTATTGTACTTCTATGGAAGCAGTAGTCAGTTCGTTATAACATTGTTTTGTACTATGAATGCGTCGTTTTCTTGTTCAGCAATCGCGAGGTTTTTAAACAGCATACATTTACTTCCATAGAAAAACACAATACAATATAACACTAGCTGACGTTTCGGCAGTATNATACTGCCGAAACGTCAGCTAGTGTTATATTGTATTGTGTTTTTCTATGGAAGTAAATGTATGCTGTTTGAAAACCTCGCGATTGCTGAACAAGAAAACGACGCATTCATATTCCAATGCCGAGGTTAATAGAAAGTCGATCCTGAGAATTGTTTTGTACTGTTTAACCTTTATTTCCTGCGTTTTTTTTTTTCATGGCAGAGTACTACGTGAAATACAATCACAATAATGCTGAAATACTGTCAAGACTTGGAATTCCAGGTGAGCGAACCCCCTACCCTTTCCGAGGGCTAAAGTGTTATACACTGCACCATCAAGACCTTTGCTTTGCTTTCCTCTTAGCCAGTTTCTTACCCGGACGGTTCCATCAGTAATTACCAGTATCTGTGAATCGCAGATAGGTATTTAACCCAGTCAAACTGAACCTGGAGTTGAAATCACAATGTTTGATCTTCATCTTATGCTTGTTTCATAAATTCATTATCTTTATTTTGGTGAAATATATTCTCCAATTATTCTTTGGTTCGTTTACATAAATACTTCCTGAAAAGACGTCCTGGATCCTTTTTTGACTGCAGCAAGCTTTAGTCGTTCTTTATAAAAAAGGCGACTTTTTGTTGAGATCATATGATCAAATAAACTTCTAATAAGCCACCGAGAAAATGCTGCAAAAATTATGCTGTAAAGTAGATAGGGTCGATGGCTATTTATTGTTTTGGGAGTCATAACATAGATATCATGGTCATATTTAAACTTTTTAAATAGAATAGAAAACTAGCTGGGCGAAAGACGAAACGGAGGACCCGTATGGTGTGATGGTGAACGCGTTAGCCCCCGGAAGAGGTAATGGCGTGTTCGGTCCTCACCGCAGACACCTGATGTCTCCGGAGTTTTGCAAATATCTAAGCATCATTGTGATTGTATTTTACATGGTACATTGCTATGAAAAATTGTAGTAGGGAGTAAATAAAAAAGACAACACCAACTCTTTAGAGTTCTATAGATTCTTTCACTGTATTTTCAAATAAAGTACCAAATATAAGAGTAATTCTTTTAGCTGTGTGTGGTAGCTATTTCGTCGTTGTACTTTGGAGGTTTTGTTGCTCACAAGGGTGCGTCTTTTCTTGAAGAGAACGAAATCTTTATTCCGTCCGACGATGACGATGATGACTGATGTGTACCAGTTCGTCAGATGTAGGCCGCAATTAATGTATAGCTTTAAGAGTAGTTAGGTTAGGTTTTGCAAACGTCAAAGGTAACATGCATATTTGTGCTGTACGGGTAGATAGTAATAATTTATTGGCAAAACAATCCTTGATTGTAGTTTTTTAATTTGTCAAGTAAAACCATCCGTGTGAGCGCAATTCACTGAATCTCATCGCTTTTAATTGTCAATAAAAGTGTATTACAGATAAAAGTTATGCTTAACATACAACATCATTATATTAGCTTAGCGATGATTATGGTTTACTGAGGCATGAATACGTTCTTCTAACAACTAGTACGAATCATAGCATTTGGGAGATCTACTATGTTGCAGAAGGAGGGTAAATTGAATACGACGGAATTTCTGCTATCGGTTCTCAGAATACGCTCTGTGCGTTGTGACTCTACCCTGATAACCGATTGTGCTTGGTCGTCACACCGCAAACTATAGCCAGGGGTTCATCTCCAAGTTAAGGCGCTCACACTTAGGACATCGCCGCTTTTATGTGGAGAACCAGGTAGCCGTACAACTTTCATAGAGATAGCTTCCCTGCTATTATAATAGAACACTATTTAGGAGTACAGTTCTCTGTAACTAGGTAGTAACCTGGAATTTTGGAACACCAGGGTGAAAACCACCCAACCAAAAAGAAGAAAGTCTTCGACTGAATTTATCTTGATCCATTTATTCCTTAGCAAGACCGGTCATCCAAGTGCAGTGCAGCCTTCTTTTTTGCTTTCTGTACCGTTTCTGTTACCGTGTTGTTGTCGAGTGATTTTATCGGGCACCCGTAAAGTTTACGTTCTCCGAAAACTCTAAATCTCACAGCAAGTTGGTATAATCGCTCAGATGAAGGTGATCGGTAGGGTGATAAAATGTGATAAAATCCTACGACATGTTTTAGCCATAAATTACCTCTCATACTACCGTATTATAACAGAAAGACGGAAAATCGAGCCATCTGTGTGACTGTCTTGAAAATACAATTTCTTAAACAGTAAAATTTATGGTTACTACTACATTTGATAGACGAGGATATTACATTAAGGGCGCGTGTAGCGCAGTGGGTCGGAGGCGCCCTGCAACACACGTGGAATCGATCCCGCGCCCATAGCCCACCAAGCCTTCCATCTCTCCGGGGTCGGCGAACTGGAACCAGACTTGTCTGGGGGATAGCAGCACTGGCCCGATACGTCGATATGCCACCGCAAGTCGTTGTAAAGGCCAGACATGCATTCAATCACCTCAAAACGATGCTTAATGAAGTCGAATGCATGGCGCATTCCTCAAGGATTGATCAAGATGGAGAGCTTTATCCCTTAGCTTTTTTTAATGAGCTCAACATTAAACTGAGAATAATTCCATTATCACCAAAACCGTCAATATCTGATAAGGTTTGAACGAAATGCCAATGAATTCGGAAGAATGGTCACATTTTGTGGATCATCTCATGGAACCGTTGTTGAGTGTGATTTTTCTTGAAATCTCAAGGCAACTGGGCCGTGGCGGTTTCGAGTCGTCACCAGTGATCCTGACGACAGCGATTCGTATGAAAGCACCGAATTCCGGGATTATTCGACTCATCTATTGACGGCAATGTGACAAGCCGAATCCGGGATATTCTATGAAATCAGTAAAACGCTTGTGTGGTGAATCAAAATAGAAACTGAAGGAAGGATTTATTCGGCAGAACTCGGCACTGTGGTAAAAGAAGATAAAAATAAAGGTAAAAGAAGATAAAAATAAAGATAAAAAAGTGAAATAAGGGGCAAACGTTCCGAACACGCCAGCAGACAGCAGATTCGATGAACAAGTAAACTTGTCGAGAATGAAACCTAATAGGAAAAGGGGGATTCAATAGTGTACGTGAGTATCAAATATGAGGTTTTGAAATGGATATCAAAGCCAACCATCAATTTGTTGAGTTTTAAAACAAAACTGCTACCGGTACCAAAAAAAAATGTAATGAAAATTGTAACACCCCTATCAACCTCAGTGACATGTTTTCCTAGATTCATAAGTTTACAGAAAATGTATGCATATTTCGACTAGATCATAAGTGTTGTGAAATGTTCACCTAAACAACAACTGGGTATAGAATCCAGCTACACAATGATTATTTAATACCATAGAGCGTTCTGCATTTGTTGATCGTTGCGGGAAACACCATATCTTCGGCCTCACTTAAAAACCGAGGGGATTTAATGAATATTCGATCTGTGCAATGACTAGTAGTGATGTAGCAAGCTTTTAAACCAGTGTTTTTATCTTTCCAGACAAGTCTAGTAGCATTTTACCGACTCCGAGGGATAGAGGGCTTGGCTTACCTGGAGCATGGGCTGGAGCAAATGGCAACTTGGGCATTAGCATAGCTTTACAGCGTGACCTTACGCCACATTCACCTCATCGAACATTGTACGGGCGAATTTCATAAGATCAATTACCTTGCATTAGTCTTTCATCGCAGGCAGTTCCCAGTCCTTGTGGACTCGACGGATATTTGTCACGTCGAATATTGATTTTATTCGGTGCGCTAGCAACTAATGACACTGACTTGATTTTTGCAGGGTTTTTAGACGGAAATAATTAACTCCTTCTAATCATCGGATACACATTTCAACTCGACGCCAAAGTGCACTCTTTTGCCACGGTAGTGCGCAAGCCGTTATGAGGACATGCCTCTCATTATTTACATAACATAACGAAGTCCTACAATGGTTTTCCTAGCACGATTCGATCCATTGTCAAGCTGGGTTTACGTGTAGAAAGCTCTTGGCTCAAATTCCACTCGAAATCGTAGGAATTAGATGCTCAGGCGATGTAGTCAGGCGTAGTTAGCTGAAAAATGCTAAAATAGCAGAAGAAGGTGAATGATGTGTTAGCATTCAAGTAACGAGGAAGAGTACTGTATTGATTTCAAGGAATCTGGTAAATCTGCGAAAGAAAAAACACCAAATGCATTGATGGTGGTAGGAGATTGGCAAATATAGAAGCCAGAAGCGCTATTGCTTCTAATAACGACGTAGATGTCCATCGAAACCTTACGTAAACTTCATTGAAATTTTGGAAACAGATGTCAATCACAATGCAACATAGTGTCATAATGAGATGAACTGGTATGTCAGCTGTTTAGTTGACCAGCGCATCTGTCAACCTGAAACAGAACAAGTTTGCCACGAACGAAAGAGGCAGACATATGGTTAGTTTTGGAACAGAGCTACAGATCATGCGAAGAAGCGAACCGAGAGATGAAGCGTCTAGTAATCAACCGTCGCTGACTAGAGAGCGATTTTTTGGAAGAAAATCAATAAGATTATCAGTAGAATCATAGAGACGCTGAAATCTGAGAAAAACTCGGATCCTCAGTTGTGCTTCGAACTCACAATTACCGTTCCCAGTAATGGTAATCACGGGTTTAATGCTCAGTTGCATATCAAAGTTTTGATCAGATTTTAGCACCGTTATAGTTGTATGTTATGTCGTACCTACCCATGAAAAAAGAACAGGTAGTAAATAGAAGTTAAAAGGTCAAAGTTACTGAAATCATTTTAAAAAAGAATAGCTCGAGAAGCACACGTGAATATTCAATGTTTCTTGTCTTCATAATCGTAAAGCAGCATTCTGAAGCTTAAAAAGAACGTTCAAAAATCGTATTCATGTGTGATGAGATTGCTTCAAATAGTTCAGATGAAGGAAGCATTTCAATTTTTGCTAATGCTTTCAAAGTCACTCCTGTTCTGAAAAAATAAACAGCGTTAGTTTTTCTAATAAAAGAAGTTATTTAAAACTTGCACAAGTCGGTAATATTGGGAAGTTTTGGTGTTTTTTTAAAGTAGTAAAGTATCGAAAGCAACAATTTCTAAATATGACTAGAAAACGAGAGGATAACGTATTCTGTGTTCTAGAGAACAAATAGAGTGTAGGGCTGATGGATGTCGTTAGTTAGAGATATATAGTGCTTTGGATGTTCGGATTAAATCGACAGAACCACTACGTAGACTATCTAATTAGAGCCTCCACTGTGGAGAACTTTTACCATCATCTCTTCTCAGTTTTTGATTATAAAGAGGAAAAAGATGAATACGAGAGCGGAGAAAGAGAGGGAAGCAAATTGATATTTGACGATAGAAGGAGAGATTAAACCGTAAACCGATGACAGACACATATTAGAGGGAGAAATACAACTAGAAAGAGAGAGATGAAGGTGGCGCTGGGTAGATATGGAACCGGTGCCTCGTGTCGCCTGGATGATCACCTGTTTTGTTCCGACCTCTCGTCTTCCTTTGACGTTTGAGTGCTTACAACGATGTGTGTGAACGACGCCGGCTTGTCGGTGGCAAAATAGCAGAAGATCAGATTGCCGCCTAAATTCGATTAACGGTTTTCCGTTTTGCACTTTAACATTCTATAAAACGATGTTATTTGTCTTCAGAATCACTCCAACACAAATATTTGGGGTTTACATTCTCTACATCTCTTTTCTCTGACCGAACATAAAAGGATTAAACTCTCGGCGTTGATCAATCCCTGAGGGATGCGTCATGCATTTCACTTCATTAAGTATCGTTAAAGGTGATTGAATGCATATTTGGCCTTTACAATGACTCGCGGTGATCTGCCGATCATTACAAGGACGGTTCTGGTTCGACCCAACGTTCGACTAACCAAGCCTCCCATCCTTCCAGAGTCGCAAATCGGTTCCAGATTTGTCAGAGGCCAGCTCGCTCCTTGCAATCCACTCAGCACTACTATCATAGAATTCCATGAGCATAGTAGATGTGAAAGATGTGTGGTGTAAAGAAAATTTCTCTTTGGTACCAAATAGAGCAATGCCAATGATCCCACTTATTACGCGGATGTTCCAACTTACTGAAGCTCTGGTTCGACTCCGCACAGCACCCCACCAAACCTCTCATCCCTCCGGAGACGGGAAATCGGTACCAGAGTTGTTCGGCACGAGACCGCTT